GGAAGGAAGGAAGGAAGGAAGGAAGGAAGGAAGGAAGGAAGGAAGGAAGGAAGGAAGGAAGGAAGGAAGGAAGGAAGGGGGGGGGGATTTTCCATATCTGTCTGACTCTGCACAACAATCAGATAAAGTAACAATGTAAAATATACAGGTGTAAAATGTAAAAATTCATATTAATATTAGAAAAACCAAAGATATAAACCCAAGGCAAAAAGAAGGATAAAAATGGCCAGCTCAATAATGGAACCATCTCAGTAATGTCTAGTAACCTGTGAACCCTAGGCATAATAACTAAGTTTTGAGGGCCTTTTGGAAAAGTAAGTTCAAACATTAGAACATTAGCACATAAAAGAGACTATTAACTCATACTTAATTTTAATCCCTCTTAGTCACAGTGTCCATTTGCAAATCCAGAAGGACCCCTAAACAATGACCCTGTTCCTGCACAGGAAATGCCTGTCTGTTTAAGGATAACACTGATACCAAAGAAGAACCACAATGTATAAACTGCAACTTGTTCTTGCTTTGGTTCAATCCAAACCTGTTTTCTCTTGTCCAGATCTTAACAGTCTTCAGGCAACAAATCAGAACAACAGAATCTTCCTTATGGAGCAATGCAGTATAGTGTAGTGTAGTGTAGTATCGTGTAGTGTAGTGTGGTATAGTATAGGTACGGTATGGTATGGTATGGTATGGTATGGTATGGTATGGTATGGTATGGTACAGTCCATCAGCACATTGGATGACTCCCCCAGTGTTTTTTTAGCTGATTGGAACCATTCACTTAAGATGCATACATTATATTTGCTGTATTTCAATGTACAAAGAATGTCACCACTGAAGACATATTTCTCCCACCTAAATTCTTGAACTATTGTAATGAAAGATATAGTAGATCAGTAGTGGGCTGCAATTTTTTTAACAACCAGTTCTCTGGCTGGGTAGCCATGGTTGGTTGGTCATGTGACTGGGTGAGTGACATCACTCATCACACCCAGCCCCACCTCCCGGCCACTTGCCTCAAAGGAAGAGGTAGGATTCAACAATTTTTCAGGCTGTTTGGGGGTTGTTTCCAGGCCCAAAAAACCAGCCCAAAAATGGCCTGTAAATGGCCTAAAAATGGTCCAAAAAACAGGTAGGGCCAACCAGTGGTGGGATTTGCCAGTTTGCCAAACTGCGCCTAATCTTAACTACCAGTTCACCAGAACTGGTGTGAACCAGCAGCAGCCCACCTCTGGCATAAATATTTAACTATTTTAATAGTTGGGCTTGCATAGATAAAGCCTTATGATGGGATAATATTTATTTTAAATTGGGGGCAAATTAATATTATGCATTTTAATTATCATTCCTAGGGTAGAACGACCGTAGCTGTGGTTCTGACACATGCCAGTCTCTTATGTGATGTTGCATGTATTTTGTTAACCTTGAAGAGTTCGTGCTCCTACCTTAAAGCAACACACTATGTTCTACCTTATAAACTGTCTCAATCGGACTGGCTGTCTCCAGAGGATACCTTCGGATACAATAATTCAGAGATTAGTAAATATTTGATGGTTCTGCCGGTAAGGAAACTAAAGAATTTTCAAAATGCTCTAGACAGGGGAAAACAAAATGTAGCAATATGGTCTCTGGGCACCTCTGTTTCAGAGATGGACATAATCAGACACCTGGGATCAAAGTATGGCACTGAATTTCATTGTAACCATTCCTTTAATTAGGAAATGAATTATTTTTAAAAAATGATAAGGAAACTATAGCAAATTTGTCATGGGTAAGATACAGCAGAGTGTGCTTTGCTTATTTGTGAGATAGCATTGCTTAGCAACTTACCAAGTCCAATAAATCTGTAAGTCTGTAATCATCACACTAACTCCTTCAAACTTTTGCCTTTTGCAAAGGCAAAAGCCGTTTGAAACCAGGCTTATATTCCCTAGAGGGAGGGGCCATTAATTAGCATTCTTACTCCAGAGTCACCTGTGCTGCTCTTCCATGAATCATCCTGCTCTCACTCACACCCAGCACAGGCTTCTCTGGAATGTCCTCCTGATTGCTGCCAGTGAACCACAACAAGTAGTAGCTAGTCTTCCTGACTCCCCATATGGAAGTTAAAAGTTAGTAGAAGCTCTCAATTGATGTAGTGATGTCCCCAAGGTGAGATTAAAAATGTCAAGATGGCGGCCACAAAGATGTTGCTGAAACTCTGCTCATATTTGCATGTGACCTGTGTGTGCAATGCACATAAAAAAGACAGACAAAGCTTCAATCTCATAACTGCCATTTTGATATTTTTTTTTTACCATACTTTGAGGAGAACATTGATTGATGTTACCAAAACAAGAAGTATAGGCAGCAAAAATGTTACAGAGTACATGACACATGTTAAAAAAAAAAAGTACTAGTACAGTGGCCATCTGACAATGATAAAGTAGGTTATCTGAGAAACTGTCTCATTGTGATGGGACTAGCCTGCTGCACTCATTCCTGCGGAAAGTGCCTACTTCAGATCCCAACGGCCAAACAATTTTGAGCCTTAAATATGCCCTCTGAAATATTCTCCTGTCAAAGGTGAGGTCCACCCAAACACTCCTGGCCTTACGCAGAGCCTAAGAACCTGATTCGATTGCTTGGCCTGGGGCTGTCTGACTGGTAGAGAAAATTCCCACTCCTAGGCCTTCCACCATCTTGGTTTTTAACTGTTCTATTCGTTTTTTCTAATTTTAACTGTTTTAGTACTTTTTATTGAAAGCCACCCACAAATAAATCTGTTCAGAAATATCATTAAAAAAATTATGAACATCTCTCATCTTGTGTTTTCTTGCAAACCATTTTTTTTTTTGCATACCCTGATCTTTTCCTCTGTTGCCCCAACCATACAATCATATTATATAGTGAAAGCAGAAATCCAGCCACTGCGAAGTTCTTGGTCAAAGCTATTTGTCACAAAACATTGGACTGTGCAATGTTTGGATTTCGCATATAGCAGTATAATGGGAAAGCTTAAAGCAGTTGTGCCTATTCCAGTGTTACATTTTTCCTTTCCAGCATATTTTGAAGCCTGAATGAAAAGTGCTGCAAGCCATGTAGAGAACAATTCTTTGTAGAGAACTTCTTTGTAGAGAACAATTCAAATCTAGCCCTGGCTTTGGGATCCATCAGAACCAACTATGCCCTTCTAATTTCCTTTGCATCTCCAGACTCCAGGAGTATAGAAAAGGCCAGGTGATTCCATCAATTTTAGGTCACAGATTCATAGCTAAGCTTCAGAACTCCAACAGGATTCTTAGAATCCAGGGTCCCAAGAGTGAAAAAGAGTGAGAGTCCAGGGGTGGTGGAAAGCAAATGGGTGCGTAACACTTAAACTTTGTGTAAAGTTCTGAATCCTTTATTTGTCTTTCAGGGGTGGGATTCTACTGGTTCAGTCTGGTTCTATAGAACCGGTAGCTCCGAAGATCAGCTGACAGCAAACTGGTTCGCTGCCACGATCTTCTGGTCCTCTGTTTGGCCCACCCACCTGCCTGGGGCTCTAGGCTGTGCTTTATTACCTGCCTTTTCCTTCTCAAGTGCTTTGCGTGGCACAGCTGAGTGCTGCTCGTCAGCAGGAGAAGGTGAATGCTTGCCAGAGCCAGTAATTTGTAAATAGTGCGCACGCACGCACAGTGCACACAAAGCACGCACTCCCCAAACTGGTTGTTATGGCGGTAGGATCCCACCCCTGTTGCCTTGTATATGTACATGTGTACCTATTCCCTCTTTTGTGTGTGGATTGGGTGGATATTTTGTATATATATTTCCGGTAAGTAAAAAAAACCTGTGGGTTTAGTAGCAACACAGTGGCCACCTAGCCACTGTTAGGTAGAGATTTTAGGTAGAGATTTGGTTTCGCTATTCTTTATTTGATGTTTGTTGGTTTGTTGCCCACATCACTTTTCTTTTGAAGAAATTACTATGTTCATAGTGTTTTTCTCTCTGGAGCTTACAACTCTTTGTCATAATTACAGACATGAGTAACAACTATTTGACTAATGTTTTTTTGTGGGGGGTGGAATCTCCTGCACATGCATATTTGATTATGTAAATTATACTGAAGATTGGGATTTCTAGTACAATTTTTAAAGACCACTTTCAGTGGAATCAGGGTAATTTCATAGGAATCAATGATACTAGTAATTAGGAAATTAAGTTTGGGATTAGAAAAAGGATGCTCTTTGTATTCCCCAACAGTTTTTGTTGTTTTTGTTAATATAGGTGAACTATAGACCACCATCTGTAATGGGAATTGCTGTTCCACTCACAGATAATTTTTATAATGCAGATCCAAGTAAACCTAGAATGAGAAATTATTTTGAAGGATCAAAAGTAAGTTTTGGTTATTAATCATTTTTGTCCTTTGAATGCCATGATTTTTAAGATTTAAATAAACTTAAAATACCTTGCTGCTATGCATTATGTTCATGTACAATGTTAATGTACAAGTGTATTCATAAATTACAAGCTACTTATAATAATGAAAAGCAGTTGCAAATCCCTTTCCATCCCTACTCTATCATTGAGGAGCCTACATGTGAACAAATGATAGTCAAAAATGTCACTGACTAAACAGTCACACTTTGATCTCACAGTTTTAGATCAATGGATGTCTTTTCCACAGGCCTCTGGAAAGTACAAACAATGTGCTAACAAATCAAGCCGAGCCCAGTGCAAATGTGCTGATCATATGAAACTGTCATTTTCTGTTGCCTTTTCAGATTGTAAAGAGAAGGTAAGCATTAACTGCCGCATAATTAAATTAATGTGTTTGAAAAGGGCTTCATTCTAGAAATAATTTTGGGAGATATGGACAAAGACACAGTAACATTCAGAACCAAATATAATCAACTACGTGATATTTAATTAGCAATATGTTTAAAAAAAAATTGTGAAATTTTTTCTCTCTAAGAAAATAATTCCAAAAATAGACTGTCCAACTGGCTTTTTAACCACCCAATATGGATCAAGAAATCTCTACACAGGTAGTGTGCATCCTTGGTACTCCCTGACCTTGGTTGTTTTCTTGCAGATGTTTCATTACTAAACTAGGTAATCTCATCAGTACACCAAGGATTCCACAGTTCAATCCTTAGCTACAAAAATTCTCTTCTATTGATACATATAAAATTAGTATGCAAACATATCTTCCTTGAAATGACAAACCTGACAAATCTAGCAGACAGCTTTGTCTCCCAAAAGGTAGAGAAGGGAACTAGAGCAGGGGTTTCCCAACTTGGCATCTTTTTTTTTATTTTTTATTTAATTTGTCAATTGCTTACAAGATAATAGGTATAAGTAAAAACATAGTTATAAATATATGGATACATATAAGAAAAATAAATATAAAATATAAAAGAAACAATAGGACAGGGACGGTAGGCACGTTGGTGCGCTTATGCATGTTCCCTACAGGCCTCTTAGGAAAGGGGTGAGGTCAATAGTAGACAGTCTAAGGTTAAAGTTTTTGGGGTTTGGGGAAAAAAAACACAGACTCAGGTAGAGTATTCCAGACATTGACCACTCTGTTGTTGAAGTCGTATTTCCTGCAATCAAGTTTGGTGCGATTAACCTTGAGTTTGTATCTACTGTTTGCTCTTGTGTTGTTATGGTTGAAGCTGAAGTATTCATTGACTGGTAGGACATTGCAATGTATGATTTTATATGCTATACTTAGATCAGACCTAAGGCGGCGTAGTTCTAGGTTTTCTAGGTCTAGAATTTTGAATCTGGTGGCATAAGGTATTCTGCAACGAGTAGAGGAGTGGAGAACTCTTCTTGTGAAATATTTCTGGACTTTCTCAACTGTGTTAATATGAGATACATAATGTGGTTTCCAGAGTGATGAGCTGTATTCGAGTATTGGTTTAGCAAATGTTTTGTATGTTCTAGTTATTCGTGTAATATTACCAGAGAAAAAGTTACATAAGATTAGGTTAACAACTCGCCTTTTTGGCTATATACCCTGTTTCTCCAACAATATGGCCTCCCCCAATAGGAAGTCCCAGCATATTTTATAGGCATGAAATGAAATTAAGCCCCTCCCCCCAAATTAAGGCCTATATTAAAACATGCAAAATGGTGTGGGGGGGGGGCTTGCCGTTAGGAAGTACTTTTGTTGCACACCCGGATATGGTGCTGCCTGCATTGACCCCGATACGAAGTGCCCCACCAACGCCGAGGTCAACATCCAAGCCATCGCCGCCCGCCTGCCTGAAGATGCAAGGGGGGGGAATTAAGTCACCCCCCGAAAAGACGGCCTAGCCATTTTTTCGGGGCTCAAAAAAAAATAAGACCCGGCCTTATTATATGAGAAACACGGTAGTTACATTACCTATGTAGTTACATTATCTTTGAGACTTGTGGACTTCAACTCCCCAACCAGGATTTAATTCTCACTAACAGAGATGAAATGATAGAAGGTGTTGAAGTTACAGGAACTTTGAAGGGAGTGACCATGCAATATTGGAATTCAACATTATGCAAAGCACAAGGAATAGGGAAAAAAAGGTAAACTAGAGTCTTGGACTTTAAGAAAGTTTATTGGAATAAATGTAGAGAGAGCTTGATAAGGATTCCATGGATGAGAATCCTCAAGAGAAAACAACCCAAGAAGCTTGGGAAACTTTAAAAGTGGGATTATAAAAGCCCAGTCTAGTACAATACCAGTGAAGAAGAAACATAAGAGAACTCAAAAGAAACCAGTGTGGCTGCACAAAGAACTCTCTAATAAACTGAAAGGCAAAAAGGGCAAATATAAAAAGTGGGGAAAGGCACATAACTATGGCAGAATATTAGCAAATAACCCAAACCTGCAAAGATGAAGTCAGTAAATCTAAGGCTCAAAAGGAACGAAGACTTGCAACAAATGTCAAAAATAACAAAAAATTTCTCTCAACATGTACAAAGTATGAAAAAAGTCAAGGAAATGATTGACCCATTAGTGGGAGAAAATAGTAAGAAGGTGACAAGCAGCAGAGAGAAAGCAGAACTGCTTAACACAGATTAGGAATGGAAGTCAAAATAAGCAAGAAAATAAGCAAGAAAATGATAAGAGAACACTTATTCACTCTAGATGACTTCATATCACCAGGACCTGATGGATTACATCCCAAGGTGTGTGTGTGTGTGTGTGTGTGTGTGTGTAATGATTTTAACATTTCTGTCTCTATGATTCATTTGTCCTTAGGCTCTGCGGATGAAATTTCCAGTAAAGGACCTTCCTCTCTATTTTGTTGTGGAAGATGAGGGTTATCTTGTTAATCTGACATCTCCTTATTTTATTACCATACATGAAGTAAACAATCGGACAAACTGGGTAATTTCAGGTAAGAAGCAGACTGCTGGGGTTCAGAAGGAATCTTTCTGAGAAATTCTGTTCAAAATATTTGTGTTGACATGTTCTTTAATGTTCTCTTCCTTGCTATATCTACAATAACTTAAAATGAAAAATATTGTTTTCCAGATCTATTTACTTTCATTTTCACTATTCTTGAAAAGTTTCCACCCAAACACTCATGATAAAGAGCTTTGATACTTTGCTTTACCAAGTTTTCAGTTTGTCCTTTCATCATAAGTTATCATCATAACAAAAAATCTGCTGCAGATAGGTCTCCATTTCTCATTTCTAATCTAAATTTTTAGTTTTAGTTTTTACAAAAGAATACCTTTATTTAAAGCATGGGCTAATTTACCCTTTTTATGTCGGATTAATTTATCACTGGAATGTATAATCAGACAATATGTAGAACTAACTCAAAAACTATTTTAACTATTTTTTTCAGGTACCAACAAAACATTAAGTTTGACAAAACTAAGGATGTACTTGGAGAAGCAGGTCAAAACCAAGTTGTATAATCCAGATGGGCTAACTATATCAATAACTGTAAGCTTCTGATAAAATACATGTTTTGAATAGAAAAACTGAAAGTGTTGCAACAATCTGGCATTCCCTATTTTGAATCCTACCCCAGCCTGTTTTAGGACGACCATATCTTGCTCCAAAATTCTGGATGATCATTAGAGGGAGAGGAGGTACATGTCAAGTAGCTATCATCCAGGTTTTTGCACCCCAAGGAGAAAGTACATTTATAACCCTCCCTCCCCCCATGGAACTAAAAGAACTGCCTGACACAAAGAAAATCCAGCAAGGCAAGCAGGTTGAAAAGATTCTGTACTACTGACAGTCTGGGGGAAATGTGAATGCCATTGGCATCAGAAGACACAGATGGGTTAAAGCTTTCTTCCTTGGTCATGATTTTGGTCATAATGACCAATTAAAGAATTGGCAATTTTAACTGTAGAGAAAATCTTTGTTTTTGCACCAAAGGGAGAATTTTTCCATCCTAATGTTAATTACTACCCTACCGGTGTATCTTAAATTGAATGCCTCAAGAAAAAAAATCTTAAATCATATTTGTTAAAATTGCATGATTTTGCTATCTAGGATATGTTGAATAAACTACAATTAGTTAGCATACACATTGCATTAAATAATTCAGGACAAATATTTTCACATTGTTAACTAATTTTAGTAATTTCCCAAAGCAAAGAAAAAACTGCACCATAATATTCATATTCATGAATATTCAGAGAAGGCAGAATTGGCCTAGACAGGCAGACAATAGATGATAAATGTAACATGCACTTAAAGCCCTATCCATCTGTCCAAATAAAGTCATCTATCTAAAACCAATCAAGTTATTTAGGACAGCAAATCCCACTTTGGAAATAAAGTAATATAGTAATAGAGAAAACTATTCGTTTCCATTCATGTCCCAAAGGTGCTTTTCCAAAAGGCAGTTCAACTTTCTTGATTGTTGGTTTTTTCTTGAAAATGTTTTGCTTTTCATCCAAAAAGTTTCTTCAATTCTGATTGAATGATGGAGAATGGGTTTCATTTTGAGTCTGTTACAGACTCAAAATGCACCTCTGTAATGGTCTGGTTTGGTTCTGCAACCCAACAGGACAGAAAAAAATTCAGAGAATAATTAGAACTGCAGAAAAAACAATTACGACAACCAGCCTTCAATCGAGGACCTGTCTACTACATGAGTCAAAAAGAGGGCTGTGAAAATATTTACAGACCCCTCACATCCTGGACATAAACTGTTTCAACTCCTACCCTCAAGACATGCTATACAGCACTGCACACCAGAACAACTAGACACAAGGACAGTTTTTTTCTCAAATGCCATCACTCTACTAAACAAATAATTTCCTCAACACTGTCCAACTATTTACAAAGTCTGCACTACTATTAATCTTCTCATCACTCCTTATTGCCCATCCCATCCCACTTGTGACTGTATGACTGTAATTTTGTCACTTGTATTCTTACTATTTATATTGACTGTTTCCTAGTATGATTTGATTGCTTATTGCACCCTATGATTATCATTAAGTGTTGTACCTTATGATTCTTGACTCTTGATGAATGTATCTTTTCTTTTATGTACACTGAGTATTTGTACCAAGACAAATTCCTTGTGTGTCCAATCACACTTGGCCAATAAAGAATTCTCTTCTCTTCTCTTCTCTTCTCTTCTCTTCTCTTCTCTTCTCTTCTCTTCTCTTCTCTTCTCTTCTCTTGAAAAAAAACCAAAAAGTCCAGTTGCCTTTTGGAAAAGCATGTTTCTCGATGACTGAAAATTCCCATAGACATTTCAATTCATAACATTAATTTTAGCAGATTAAGCAATGTTAGAAAATGTATTTGTAGCAAAAGGAATATTATTAGGCACTAATAAAAATTAATTTTTCTTTTTAACAGGGATCTGAACTTTTCCATTTTAGAGTATCCACTATTCCTGGAGTCTCCTTTTGCAATTTATTTGATGAATTTCAGGTATATTTTTCACAGTACTGAAATATAGAAGAATGTGAAACAATCCCAAAATATATAGAATAATTACATTGGCAAAAAATTATTTATATACAGTAACTATATCTTAGTACAGATGTCAGCGTTCCAGCAAATCTCCATTCCAATCAGTAACTCCGAGACAAACATATCTCAAAAGTACCTTTATTAGAATAACTCCGGCACATCTGTGGAAACCTGAATCTAAAAGTTTTTTCAGCTTTCCACAATTTCTCAAACGACAAATCCATCCCCACTTGGTCGTCATCACATCACATGGCCCAATCACAATCCGTCCAAAAGTAAGGTCTTTATTTCATCCTGTGCCATACTAAATGACCTTGAACTTACAAACGAATTTTGTTTTGTCTACTTAGTGCTATTTAATTGAAATCACCCCACTCCCACTCTCTCAGGTTATGTGGCAGTGTGGAATATGGTTTCCAAAGCTGACAACAGATATAATCAACAACAATCCCATCTTCAACAAATTTAAGTTATATTGTCTGAACTCTGAAGTATCCCCACAGCAATGTCTGAGTCATAACATTTTTACAAATGAATAGTGATAGAACGCAAACACTGCATCCAGTCTTCATAGTCCCCAACATAATAAAAGAGCTGTGGGTACCAGCAGATTCTCTATTCCTTTCCTTGTAGCAAGTGGAACCTTTCCTGCTTCAAAGATCGTTCCTTTTGTTGTAACAGATATACACAGAATACACAAAAGAACAGAGTTGCAAGGACCTTGGAGTTCTTCTAGTCCAACCTTCTGCTCAAGCAGGAGGCTCTATATCATTCCAAATAAATGACTGTCCAATCTCCACTTAAAAACCCCCACTGCTTGGGATTTGCGATCCTGCGCGATCTATTGATCTATTGATCTGGAGGCTAGGGCTGCCATGAAGAGGCAGCCCAAGATAGGAGGGATCCGGACAGGGGGTTGGGGTCTTCACAGACCCCTTCCCCACCCGGCTTAACCCTCTTTCTCAAGGCGGTGGAGCGGCGGTCTGTAATGGCCGCCACAAAGAAGCTGACAGCTGGACAAGATCGTGCTGGAGGAAGAGAAAGTGCTGAAGCGAAAGTTTCTTGGCTGAACTGGACTATAAGATACAAGTAATACAAGTAATATCCTGAAAATTCGGATTTTTTGAAAGATACTTTGTTTCCAGAAGAGATTTACAAGCGGCGAGTGAAAGTGTTTTAAGAGAAAGTTTACTCTCCTTCCACATGGACTTAACAAATGGATATTGAAAATCCTGCTATTTTATAGAAGGTAAAAATTTAAAGCTTTCTGTTATAAGTGGGAAGGGAGAGGACAAAAATAAAATTTTCATTAAGATTTTGCTGGAGGAGATGCCTGGAAGATTTTGAGATTGGAAGTTAATTGTAATGAGACTTTAAAATACAGATTGGGTTTTTTTTCCCCTTGCCAACTGATATTACCCCAGGAAGAAAAAGTGTGAAGAACTTTGTGTTCTGTTTGGACTGTTTGATGACTTTGGGATTTTGGGGAATTGTTTTAAGTTTTGAATTATCTTGGTTGTTTTAAAAAGAAGAAGAAGAGAAAAAAGAAGAAGAAAAGGTTTATAATGGCTTTATCTGTTGATGAACTGAGAGAGGATAAAAAAAGAAGGTAAAGACGGTGTGAGAGAAATTTTTTGCTTTTTAGAAATGGTGCTTGCTACTTATCAACAAACATAGCAATTAATGGAGGATAAAGAAGAAGAAGAAGAAGAAGAAGAAGAAGAAGAAGAAGAAGAAGAAGAAGAAGAAGAAGAAGAAGAAGAAGAAGAAGAAGAAGAAGAAGAAGCCATCTTTAATGAGTCTAAAAGGACATAAGACTTAAAAAAAAACATCCAAGAAAGAGAAAAATAAGATGCATAATCAATATACTGTTAGAAAGCAAAAGAAAAGAGAAATGTAACAGGGGGGGGGAGTGAAGGGGGGTAAAAAGACCAGATGGGATAAGATAGGAAGGAAGAAGGGGGAAAAAAGCCAAAAAGGTATGAAATAAGGTGTGGAGAAGAAATCTTTTTTTATGGATAATGGGTAATAACTTTGTTTCAAAATGTTTCTGCAAGGTACATGATAGTATTGTAGTATTTGTATGAGAATTAGAAAATTAGAATTTTATAAGGCTTAAGTAAAGATTAAAATATTAAAGGTTTAATAATGATAGATTTTAAGATTTAATAAAATATTAAAAGGAATGTCTAAAACATTTAGTTTAAGTATAGAGTTTGACTATTGTGTGGATGTTCGTACGAACTTATTATTATGGTATTTGTTTTTGAAATAGATAATTGGAATGTTATGAGATTTAATGTTTAATTATATATTTAATTACTTTATGGATTTACTATTTTAGTAAGTAGAATGTACTAAGCAGAATTAGATAGGGAATTAGATGTTAATGTAGGGGAGCGATGGAAAGGCATCATACTTCGATTAGTGATTTCAGGAGAAATATTTTTTTTCTAATATGAATGAGATAAATGGATAATTGAAAAGAATGGACAAAAGATACAAATACAATGATTTAAATTAAGATGAAATAAATAAAATAGAATTAAGAAGAGTGGAAAGCGGGGAGAAGTTATAATAAAGATATAGAAGGGTAATAAGATAGGTAATGGCATATAAGTTGAACATGAATTTAATTGAAGTCCATACAAAGAGAGGTAATCCGGGGCCAAGCTACTTTTTAAAAAGAAGTTTTATGTTTTTGTGTTTTGTGTGTGTATGTCTGATTGAGATTTAATAAAACCTTGGGAGAAAGCGAGAGGAATATTTGTAAACAAGGCAGAGGGAAATATGAATATGATGAGTATAAAATGGATAAATATAGAAGAAATGTAATTGAATAAGACTAAAGAGAAATAATGAGAAATTTGTTAAAAAAATATTTAAGTGGAAATGGGATATATTAGAATTGTATTGTATAAAACAATGTTTTATTTGCCTTGTAAAATTTATAATGGAAAGAGGTTCAATGTCTTTAATGTTTAATGATGCTTTGTTTGTCTGTAAAATTAATAAAATTTGTTTAAAAAAAAAAACCCACTGCTTGAGCATCCACAAATTCTAGAGGCAAGTTGTTCCACTGATTAATTGTACTCACTGCCAGGAAATATTGCCTTAATTCTAAGTTGGTTTTCTCTCTTTGATAAGTTTCCTCTGTTACTTCTTGCCTTGCTGTCAGGTGCTTTGGAGAATAGGTTCACTCCCCTCTTCTTTGTGACATCTGCTAAAGCAGTGGTCTCCAACCACGAGAACATTTTGGTGGGCCGCAGAGAAATCTCACCCCCAGATCACCCCCCCAAAGCAATTAATCCAGGCTGTGCAGAAATACAAGGCTGCATCGCCCACATGGCCTGCGGGAACCCTCCCCACCCACTCACTTCTTATCCAGCAAACTTGCCTGCTAAGTTGCTATTTTTCCTTTTTCCGACCATCATCTGTTCTGCTGTGCCGGGAGATTTAGGAAGCAGGAAATGGTTGGATTTCTTGCTTTCTAGCTAGTCTTTAGATCTTCGGCTCTTCTTTTAAGCACAGCCGAACCTCCCTTAGGACTGAAGGTTCTATTATTCAGTGCAGACTCACGGCAAGCAAATTTTATGTGACAGACTCACGTAGCTGATGGCAGATAGATAGATCACTGAATGATTCTGTGAGCAACTCAATCTGCCTGCCTGCTTTGCCTGATTTTGGGTAAAAGTTGCTCTTTTTTTATAAAAAATTCAATATTTATATAAATATTTATAATATTTACATACAAGCCATGACCACCAGTCAATGACCACCAAGCCACACCCACAAATTAGGCCATGCCCACAGAACCGGTTAGTGGTCCCTGGGATTTAAAATTATGAGTTTGGTGGTCCCTGAGGTCCAAAAGGTTGGCGACCCCTGCTCTAAGATATTGGAAGACTGCTATCCTTAGTCCTGCTCTTTGTTAGACTAGTCACTAGATATACCCAATTCCTGCAACAATTCATGATATGTTTCAGCTTCCAGCCTCCTAATCATCTTTGTTGTTCTTCTCTACATTCTTTCTAGAATCTCAGTATCATTTTATATTGAAGGGACCAGAATATGCAGTATTCTAAGTCTGGTCTTACCAAAGCAGTATGTAGCAGTACTAATATTTTGTGTGATCTTGGTGCTATACTATCCCTCTGTTGATGCAGACTAGGATTGCAATGGCTTTCTTGGCAGCTGCAGCACACTGGTGGCTCATCTTTAAGTGGTTATCCACTAGGACTCCTAGATCCCTCTCAGTAATACTAATGTAAACTTAAGTTATCTATCTCAAGTAACAACTTTTAAAGTAATATGATTTTTCAATTTACCAGAATATATTTTTTATTGCAGATTTATGTTGATGATGCACCATTGGCTTTTCCAGGACAGTACCTCATCAGTACAATTGTAGCTGTGTTAGTAGGAGGGATTCTCTTTGCGGCTTTTCTTCTGCACAACTATGAAATCCAGATAATAAATTTTTTTAAAAGGAAAAAAATCAGAAACAAAGTAGAATCAAAAACTTCAGTTACCAGTAAAGAATCATCTGAGAGCAACAAATCATAATTGTCAATTATGCCACAATGTTCTCACTGCCATGCCAGTATATGACTATTTTTGTGTAATTTGGCCCACAAGAATTGAAGGGTTTTGTTACAGTTTTTTTTCTTGTTAGATAACAAAAAGAATGCTCATTTATTTCTAAATATGACATAATTCTAGTCGCTGTTGCCAAGAACTTTCTAGGTTTTCAGTGAGGAAGTCAGTTATGTATGCATTTATTTTTGCAAAAGTATAGCTGATGTTCAGAAAATGTCATTCAACAGTGTACAGTAACATAATTAAAAAGTAAAAGAAAAGGTATTAAATATATACCCATTTCTTCTCTGTATTATTAAGTACCAGTTATTTCTTGATTAAAAGTTCTGTAAATCAAATCTAGCAGTTATTGCAAGTATTGTTATTTATGTTAATACATTGCAGAAAAAAGAAAAAGTAACTAAACAAAGTTAAGAACAATCAAGATTTAAAAAAAAATAAAAACAAAATTATGAATGCATTATTATGTATTTTGCTGTAGTGAGAAACTCCCTACTTATGAGGCTAATAAAAATATATATTACACTAAGATATCTCCTCCTCCCTGCAAAAAGTAAATAAATTAAGCAGGGACATTTTTAGATTTTAATAAGTTATTCAGAGATAATTTCAAAGGAAAACAAAGTACAGATAGCAAAAAAGAAAGAAAAAGAGTCATGATGGTGCAGTGGTTAGAATGTAGTATTGCTGGCTAACTGTGCTGATTGCCAGGAGTTCGATTCTCACCAGGTTCAAGGTTGACACAGCTTTCCATCCTTCTGAGGTCAGTAAAATGAGGGCCCAGATTGTTGAAGGCAATATGCTGACTCTCAAAACTGCTTAGAGAGAGCTGTAAAAAGCACTGTAAAGTGGTATGTAAGTCTAAGTGTAATTGCTATTGTTTTAGAAACCTGTCAACTACTGGTTTCCGGTGGCACTTCCATCAAAGACGAACCGAAGACCGCGATCATGCATGGCTTCGATCTGTGCTTATCCTGTTGGAAGGTCCCAACGGGACTGGATCCATCTTGGACCCACCTCAGAGGGGTGGGGGAAGAGGGGGAGACTGCCAGCTGGGTTGAGAGGAGCCACAACTCCCCTCCCTGGCTTGGTATACTCCCCTTGAAGATGGGAGGTAACAGCAATCTTAATGGCTGCCCTGAAGATGGGAAGCTTCTGGGAAGCTTTAAGTGTGTGCTGGAGCAGTGAAGTGGTGAGCGGTGTGTAATCAGACAAAGGATTTTGGATTTTTCTTTTTGATAACCCCGAGAAACAGAAGGAAAGAGCCCTTGTTCAATAGTATGACAGCGGCAAATGGAAAATAAGAGGAAATTATAAGGTAAATAAAAAATTGGATCATAAAAAAAATTTGGAGTAGGATACAGAAATTGGCATTAATTAGGCATTGGACAGAATGCTGGACTTGCCTGGAATTGACTATATTTAAAAGAGCTAATGGTTGAAAATTAGTGGAATTAATACAGTTGAAAAGAAAAAAAGAACTTTGAAAAGTGGAAAGTGATGTAGAGCACCACCTAATGGTTAAAGGCACTTTTTCTCTCATGATTTCATGGAAAATTACTGGTCTTACAAATGTGTGAATGGGAAAAGAAATGAAATAAAAGACTATATTATAATAATAACCCCAGAAGTATAAAAAAAGGGGGGGGGGGGTTGCAGCAAAGAGACAAGCAAAGATAATTTCTTGGGACTGTTTGGTGTTGATTGTGACAAGGAGACAGAAGGATTAATAAGAGGAATTGAGATAAATGGATATTTTTGGCAAGGATTAAAATAAAAGCCTCTGACTTTTAATAAATTAGAGAATAACTCAACAATTAAATAAAATGGAAGAAACACACAAAGAATTCAACTCGGAACTGCAAACTGTGAGAGGAATGTTAAAAGAAAGAATGGAACTATTGGACATATTGGCAGAAAAATTAATGGCGATGCAGTTCACAGAAGAACAAAGAAAGTTCAAAGAGGAGGAGTCAAAGAAAGAGGAAAGCAGCCTAGAAGAGCACAAAGAACAAGGGACAATGCGAAAAGACATGAAAGGAATTAAAATTAAGACATTGATGATAGATGTAATAAATAAAAAGGAAAATATTCCCAAGATCAAACAAAAGAAGAATCTGTATAAGAAGAAATTGCAAAAGAGAACAGGAAAGGGTGGGGGAAAAATAAGTGATTGGCAGATGAAAATAAAAACAATACTAGAGGAAAAAAGAGGAGTTAAGAGGGAAGACCAGAAAAAATTAGAAAAGGGAAAGTTGGTTAAAATTATAAGAAACTATAAGGCCGAGAGATTTAGAGATAAGCTTTAAAGATAATATAAAGGGGGGATACCACATGGAAATGTTTTTTTTTTTTTAGAAATATAGATTGGGGAGACTTGAAGTTTAAAACTTATTGAGAATTACCTTAAGATTATTATATAATTATATATGAGAAAAATGATGATAGAGTAAGAGAAATCAAGATGGTTTGGCTGTTATTAAATCACACACACACACACACACTCACACACACACACACACACACATATATACACATACATACATATATATATTTGTTTTTGTAGATTTTCACGGGTACAGGTATGTAGGTCTAGGTGTGTTTGGGTCTTTTTCCGTGTAAGATTAAGAGTATCTTGGCAACGTTTCGGTGAGGTCCCACTCACCATCCTCAGGCTGGTGCTTTCGGCTTCGTGCCAGTGCGATCACACACTGCTTGCACTGGCACGAAGCCGAAAGCACCAGCCTGAGGATGGCAAGTAGGTCCTCGCCGAAACGTTGCCAAGATACTCTTAATCTTACACAGGAAAAGACCCAAACACACCTATGCCAACTACTGTTACATATGTGCTTTATACATCCAGGAATTTGAAACACAGGGCAAAGATTCCAAATATTATTATTTTTTAATTATGACCCAATAGCTTAATATGGTTGATTCACTGCCATACAGCATGAGAATGCCTAAGAGAAAAAGATGCATGATATAAAATGGAATCTGAAATAAAAATTAGTAGTATAACAACATTTCTGCTCTTCCTTCTCTCAAAGAGATTCCCAAACTATCTGTTTATTGGGGCACAGTCATTCGGCTAAAAAAGAAGCATTACAGGTTCTGTGGGCATGGCTAGGTGGGCATGGCCAGGTGACTGGGGGGCATTTTTGCTCCCAGGAAGCTTCCCTGGGGCCCAGGAAGGCAAAAATGGAGCTCGGGAGGGGGCGGGGTGCTGCATCCGTCCCTCCATTTTTTTGCCTTCCTGGGCCTCAGGGAAGCCTCCTGGGCGAAGCAGTAAGACAGAGAGGGGAATCCCGGCAAAGCTGATCATAGGAACAGCTGATCGTTGGGAGCGGGAAAAAGAAATACCTTAAGGAGAACGCAGTCAGCGATGTCGGGCATGCGCGCAATGTCGCACATGCATGATAAGGACTGGGTAGGGAGGGGAGGGGCAGGCGGAAATGGGCAGGACCAGCCAGGGGCATGATTTGCTGGTTCTCCAAACTGCACGGAATCATAACAACTGGTTTGCTTGACCTATGGATATAATGCAAAACTTAGGATTTCCCCCCAAATAAGTTTATTTTCCACTGGACTCCATTTAGCTTGATATGCAGTATATCACGTGAGTTTTCCACTGGAATGATTTATTATTATTATTATTATTATTATTATTATTATTCAAAACTAATTAGTAAAGACTGGTATACATAACAGCATCATTACAGGATTTATCCCATCTAAACTTTACAAGTATAGCCATTAAAAAAGCACTGAAAAAGGGCAGAAAAAAGCAGAACTCTAAAAACATAGAATATTCAGAGATTGTCTTCCCTGCCCCTTTGCTAAACAAAGATAATTCAAGTGTACTTCAAAGTCAGGGGCAGATTTTTCATCGCAGTATTGCATGATAATTATTTTAGTCCTCTCCCATGACTGAAAAAATCCACTGTTTTGATAGATGGAGGATTTAAAATGTGAGGATATAATTGAAAAGAACTTAGGCATCTTTGATATTGACCCAGAGGCTAAAAATGATATATTAGCTCCAAATGTAATGCCACAGGATAAAATCTAATCATATTGATTACAGTTCAAATTTCTGTCTTCCATATCCAATCATAAGGCGATTACATCCAACTCTTAGTGAATGTACTTTAGGATATAATAAGCTGTTGTTGTGCTGTGGGAAGTACATCCCAAAAGGACAGTGCCAGAAACCTCATAGCACCAGAAACCTCAGAAAACAGTGCCAAGAGACTCAAGCCAGCTCTTCCCCCTTTAATAAAGCCAAGAAGCACCAGCTGAAAGGAAAATAGCAGCCCTGCTAATGGCTGTTACAAAAGTAACAGAGCTGACAACAGCAACATTTAAGTAGAGCCATTAAGATAAGGGGAACCAGGCTAAAAATAACTCACCTGGAACTCCACTTTTCCTCTTTCCTGGCAGAATTAACCCTCAGGATAGGAAAGACAAAGCCCCAGGAACAGGATTAACCCATTAAGGCAAGAAGACAGAATTCAGAGCAATCACCTTAACTAAAGGCACACACAAAAATCTCATCAACCCATACAAACTTCAAAGGGAAAATGGTACAAAAATACATAAACTTATCATGCCACTCTGCTTGCAAGCCAGGAATGCTCAAGCTGTGTCACTACTTTTCTTGCCTTCCTACATTAAAAGAAAACCTCTAATTTCTGTAAAGTATCAGAAGTTGCAATCACATCTGGATAAAATAAACAAAATAAACATGTAAGGTGACTGCATTGCCAGAAATGGAGTAGATTTCTAATTTTCCATCCTATAGAATCAGGCAGAAGACAAGCCTCAAAAGTGTAGAATAAAACAAAACATTACCATCTAGTGGTAATTATACAAACTGCAGTTTGCAAAAATGATGTGCCTTAGATCCAAATTGGACTTTAAAAAATCAGCTTTTTGGGGGGGGGACTTTAATTTAAATTTGCAGGCATTGCACACA